TAAAAAATTAAGAAATTCTTTGACATTTAAGGTTACAAATGATCCAGACCAAAAAAACTATGATGCAAAATATATTTATAGTTTTGTCAATATTGATGAAAAATTTTATTTGAATATATCATTGTATGAAATTTATATGAGCATATAATCTGAGAATTATCAGTATTAACCCAATGAAATAAATGGAATTTAATTAAATTCATAACTCATGATTGCTCAACAAAAGTCCATATTTATAAAACCTACATATTTATTTCTAACAAAGCAATATAAATATTCTTCTGAATTTTCAAAATAAATTCGTTTTACTCGCATATGAAAAAAGTGATCAGTTTTTCATGCTGCAATGATTTAATACACGTATATATTCATGTTTTGGTAATTCAGACCAATAAGTGTGTGAGACATGGGGAAATGGCTAAATATGTTTTACAAAAGTGTTTTGACACTAATATAACTTTATAGATAATTTTACAGAAACTATTTTTGGCACTAATGGTATTCCATACATACCCGGGTCAAAAATGACCCGAACATTTTAAATGTTTATATCTCTTAAAAAAATAGTAAAAAAAAAATCTGGGGAAAAAAAAATGGTGTGTATCTCAAGGGTGTTAAAACATTTGCAAAGTTTCATTCCGTTACTGTAAACCATGCAGGTCAAAATTATACTGGTTTTGACGATCTGGATCTGTATACAATCACAGTTTTTGTTTTTTTTGATACAAAAAAGCACAAAACCCTAAATGAGATTAAACACATGCTTTATTAAAATCAATAAAATGCTTATTCTCACCAAAAATAGATATATTTCGTACAATTATTCGCGATCATTTGCTTTCTAGCGTGTTGTGCGTCATGCTTTGCTCTGGATTAATGTGCTAATTTCAATAAATCATGCTTTTTTTTGAGTCACGTTTGTTGTGATTTATTAGTTCAGTGTCATAATACTGTCTGGCGATTAACAGTCAGTTTAACGTTCAACTCAATCTACCGAACACTTGCTGGATCGGAAAACGCGGCAAACTCAAAACTAACATCAATGTCGAGCGTAAAATATATGTTGTTTATGTAAACTACTTTGTAAACATCACAGAAACTGGAGGTTCGGTGAGTTCAGGAGGTTTAGGATAAAAAAAAAATAAAAAAAAACGAGGTTTTGGTTCAACGGCGCCTCCTGCAGGACTGGAGGACATTCACTTCTGAACAGTTTGGGCCATCAGAGAACGTAAATCCTTCAAAGTGACGAGAAAATTTAACGGATAATAGAACAAGAGACTGAAAGATGTGTCCACAGTGAGTTATAATCACAAATTAAACCTTCAAAAAGTAGCTAAAGCAAAAGGCATATGGGGGTGGCGGGGCTACTATTAATATAATAGTATGTATAATAATTATATTATAATAGTATGTGAACAGCATTAACAACTATATTTTGTTTTTAACATATTAATGTTGAAAGCAAAATACAATTGTTAATAATATTATAATACTTATATCAATATGTATAATTAGTATTATATTTTATCAGTATATTATGATTATCATCATTATGCATATTATGTATAATGGCGTTAATATAATTATATTTCATTTTTAACATTAATGTTAAAAACAAAATATTAACGTATACTAATAGTAATATTGTTTTATTTTTTTAACATTAACATTTTAAAACTAACATATTTTATTAATATACATTATATTAATATATTATGTAATATTATCATAATAATATTGATATAATTGTTTTTAATATTAACTGATATTAATATAGATTTATTTTTTTTTTTTTAAATAAAACAAAGTATTTCAGTTTAGTTTTATATTTAATTAAATTTAAGTTAATAATTAAATATTGCATATTATTATAGGTAGGGTTACGGTTATAATCACAGACGCCTCAAATGAAGCCTTCAAAATAAAAGTCTCTAAAGTAAAAGGCACGTGTGGGAGCGCGACGTCATGACGGAGGTATAACGTCGTATAATAGCGATGCATAGCTCAAACGTCTCTAAACATGCAGTGAAATGAAAGGAACGGAGGGAATGTGACTTTGGTCCGTCTCGAGTGTGCTGATTGGACAGGTGGGGTGTGGGCGTGGTCAGATCTCATCTCGAGTGTGCTGATTGGACAGGTGGGGTGTGGGCATGGTCAGATCTCATCTCGAGCGTGCTGATTGGACAGGTGGGGTCATAGCTTGTCTTGAGTGTGCTGATTGGACGGGCAGAGTGTGGGCGGGGTCATGGCTTGTCTCTAGCGTGCTGATTGGACAGGCAGAGTGTGGGGGGGGTCATGGGTCATCTCTAGTGTGCTGATTGGCTGGAGGTGAATGACAGCTCGTCCTCCTCCTCGATTCTGTCCAGCTCCTGCGTTCGGACGGCCTGCGTAATCAGGTGCAGCTCCTCACACAGAGTCTCGTATCGATACCCCACGCGGATGTCCGGGACGTTTGTGCACCGGATGTCGTTACTGACGGGACCCTCTTTAGTGTAATCAGGACCCAGCCAATGACTCTTAGTCTGAAACAAGAGGAGAAAAGAGAGACCTGTGTGAGTCAACAGTGTGTCATGCGTCGTTTCAAAGCAGCTTTACAGGAAAATATAGATGAATAATTACTGAGTTAAGAATTAGAGAAGTGAAGAAAGTTTTACTTAATTAAAATAAAATAAAATTTAATACTTTTTAATTAATATTTAAGTTGATATTAATTTATTATACGTACATACATTTACATGAATTTAATTTGTTTGGATTTTTTTTTTGTTCAGGGTTCCCACACATTGTTATCCTTTTTCTTTTCTTTTAATTTAAATTTTATTTTTTAATTAAATAAAATTTTATTTTATTATTTTTATTTTATTATCTTCCTGTTCACTCATTCAGCTCTGTCTGTTTATCAAGTGTAGTAAACGAGAACCTGTTCAAAATACTGAAAACCAATGATTCCTGAATGAGTGACTCTTATGAAGCGGTTCTTAATACATCCAGAGTGACTAACGTAGACCGATTCCTGAACAAATGACTCTTATGAACCGGTTCTTTTTAGTGAATCAAAAAGAAACTACATTAGTTACGCACTATGTTTTTGACTGACTAGTGAAATCTAATTTCTAAACAAATGAACCGAACTGTTTTGTTGAATCAAAACAAAGATATGTGAACCTACACTGGTTGTGCTGTATGTGTTTGATTCACTTAAAAGAACTGGTTCATAAGGTTGATTTGTTAAGGAGTCAGACTATATTGGTCGCTCTGTATTAGCTAAAAACAACTAGTTACTGTTCTTTTAAAAGTACTGGAATCAAATGACACAACCAGCATAGTATGATTCCTGAACAAATGATTCCTTTGAACCGAAACTTTAAATGAATCAAAACTTCTAGTGAAATCCGTTACCCAAATAACTTTCACGAGCTACATCTTTTTACTGAATCAAAGTCACATATCGCAACGATTGAAATCCAATTGTGGAATGAATGAAAATAGGCTACTGTACGAGTCATTTGTTTATAAGAGTCATTCATTCAGGCATCGGACTACATTGGCTGCTCTGTATGTGTTTGATTCACTAAAAAGAAACACTATAGTCCGAGTCCTGAACAAATGACTCTTATGAACTGGTTCTTTTTAGTGAATCAAATTCACACAGTGTCCACATCCATTTCAGTGAATCAAAAACACAATAGTCAATCCAGTCCAGGATAAGGAATCAAACTACATTAGTCAATAAAAAAGAAACAGTTCAGGACTACATAGGTTACTCTGTATGCGTTTGAGTCACTCAAAATAAAAAAACCTTTATAGTTCTGAAAAACAGACTCTTTTAAAGCGGTTCATTTTATTGAATCAAACACAAAGAGTACAACCTGTGTAATCTGATTCCAGAACAATGACTCTTATGAACTCTTTCTTTTTAGTAAATCAAATCCACAGTGTGACCAGTGTAGTCCAATTCCAGGACTAAAGATTCTTATGAACCAGTTCATTTTAGTGAATCAAACACATGCAGCCCAACTGGTTATAGTCTGATTCCTGAACAATTGACTCTTTTTGAACCGGTTCTTTTTAGTAAAATTAAATCCAGTGTAATCCGATTCCCGGACTAATGATTCTTATGAACTGGTTCATTTCAGTGACTCAAACACATACAGCACAACCGGTGTAATCCAATTCCTGAACAAATGACTCTTTCGAACCAGTTCTTTTTAGTAAATCAAAACCACATAGTGTAGTGTGGCAAATGTAGTCTGATTCCCAGATTAATGATTCTCATGAAACAGTTCATTTTACTGAATCCAACACAACCGTAGTCACATTCCTGAACTAGTGACTCTTTTGAATTGGTTCTTTAAGTGAACCGGTTCATTTTACTGAATCACACAAGTGCTGCAAAACCAGTATAGTCTGATTTGTGAATAAATGACTCTTTTGAATTGGTCTTTAAGTGAACAGGTTCATTTGACTGAATCACACAAGTGCTGCAAAACCAGTATAGTCTGATTTGTGAATAAATGACTCTTTTGAAGGTAGGTTTAGGGGTAGGGTTGGTGTAGTGCAATAGAATATACGGTCTGTACAGTATAAAAACCCTTACGCCTATGGGATGTCCCCACTTTTCACAAAAACAAACCTGTGTGTGAGTGTGAGTGTGTGTGTGTGTGTGTGTGTGTGTGTGCGCGCGTTTTTGTGACAAATAAGGACATAAATTTGTATAATACAAGGGTATGACATAGGTATTACAAGGAGAAGGTGACTTTTCAGGACGTTACCCCATGTCCCCACTTTTCAAAACGCTTATAAATCACACAGAATGGAGTGTATTGAAAATCTGAAATAGCACAAAGTTTCCTGTGAGGGGTAGGTTTAGGGGTAGGGTTGGTGTAGGGCAATAGAATATACGGTCTGTACAGTAGAAAAACCATTACGCCTATGGAGAGTCCCCACTTTTCACAAAAACAAACCTGTGTGTGTGAAAGAGAGAGAGTGTGTGTGTGTGTGTCTGTGTCTGTTTGTCTGTGTGTGTGTGTGTCTGTGTGTGTGTGTGTGTGTCTCACAAGAGTCGTGGGATCTGCACGAGCCAGCGCACGTTGTCGGAGTAGATGGAGTGAGAGACGGCCCACAGCGCTAGTTTGTCCCACTCATCCATGGATCGTCCGTAAATGGACAGACGCAGCTCAGCGTTCTGATACTTACTCTCCTCCAGGTCTGACATCACTTCCTGCGCACACAGGAAACACACCGCAGCACACTCAGCACTTGTTTTTTGTTTTATTGAAGAGTTATTCATTTGAAGTAGGCCAGACAAAGATAATGCATAAAGTTATGAGATTAAATTAATAAATAAATAATAGAAACATATTATTGTTTTATTAATTAAACTTTTATTTAAATATGTTCATTCCTTTCAACATGTAGCAATTTACTTTAATATTAGAAATTAAATGTAAAAGTTGCATTATTAAAAAGACAGTTTTGGATATTATTATGTCTCATTCTCTTAAAACTGCATAATGAAAGGACAAAATATATTAAAAGTCAGTTTAAATATTTTTTTATTGTTTTTTTTTATAAAATTTATTTTACTAATTATTTTTAAAATATAGACTTAGGAAATAAAGCAAAATGATGTCTTAAAAATATTTTATTTAAATAAAAAAAATATTGTGTTGTGTTAAATGTAATGCATTAAATGAATTAATTTCTAAAACTTTAAACATATTACATGTGTTTTTAAACATGCATACAGAAATAAATATTATATATATTGTATAATAATGTTATATTTATAATATTATACAGTAAAACTTTTTTGATTTTGTAATTATTTCTATATTATAAATATTTTATTATTGTATTCTAATATTCCAGTACTAAACATTATTATATTATTAATATTTATATTTATTATACATCACATATTTATAAATACATATTTTAATTTTGATAATTTTGGGCATTACTAGCATATTCAGTTTTATTTAATTTGTTATATATATATATATACTGATAATAATAAAATGTACTTATTATTTAATCAATTTATTCACATGCTCATTGTTTATAGAATTACATGTTTTATAAACACATTGATATTCCAGTAACTGTATGTCATGAATTGCACTGAATGCACTGAAC